GTGGGTGGGGGGGGTGCTAGCGGTCTGGGCGTTGAACGCCGCAGATACAAACGCATCAGTTTTTTTTGTGCCTGGGCAACTGATCAGTATTACAATGGTAAGCTAGTCTTGACGTACATCTACCTAATGAATTGTGCTCTGGTCTATGGAATCAAAAGTTGCCGTATGCTAGGCTCTACACAGCAACACAACTTTTTGGCAAACGATCGAGATGACACAGGCGTGCATTTGAACGAACCGGTCTTTTTTTTTTACACAAGTCATAATATGCATGCATTTCAGGCGCTACTTGTTAATTCAATTCTCTTTACACATTACTTACTCAGTGCCTGTAATTATCTACACAAAACCTCATGTTTGCTATAACGAACACTCGGATTCAACAAGGTTTTAGGTCAGGCCCGGCGACCTCGTTGAATCCGAGTTCCACTGTAATCAATGCTTCTGTTCTCTTTCTTTTGAATTACTGGTGTGGGTTGCTGACTTCACTAGCTAATTTTGTTTTCTATGAAGCTAGATGTTTGTTAAACAGAGGCACCACGGGATGAAATTGACTGTTTACACTTTACTTTGCCCTTCAGGTCAGTCCACAGGAGGCCCACTTGCGAGATATGTATGGAAGAGGAGTCAAAGTACACTTGCCCTGGCTGCACCATGAAGACATGTTCACTACAGTGTGTTCAGGCCCATAAAACGAAGCTGAGTTGTTCAGGGGAGAGAAACAAAACAGCTTTCATGGACCTTACCCAGTATTCTGATGCGAATTTGCTGAATGGTAAGGAAGAAGGTTCTATAGATCAAATTTTGTTGGCTTTGACCTTTCTCTAATGGGTGTATATTTTTGCAGCATTTGGTTATGTTGAGCGCAGTATTTATGGAAGAGACGAAAAAACACTTTTGTGCGTGTTTTGGATTTGCAACGATTTACTACACTTGTAGGGTTATTGGATTCGTATTCATAAGGTTCTGGGTTTTATTTCCTTCAGGGTGGGAGTTTGTATTCCTGGGAAAAGTAAATGCTTTCCTTTCCTTGGTTCATTTAGCTGCAAATGGGTACTTGACAATAGCCTTTAAGGAAATTTGTTGAGACTGGAAAGGAGTTATTGTTAAGTCATGTCAGCTAAGATGAGAATAGATATTTATCTATGTTTTTTGCTTTTTCCTCTGTGTGATGTCAAGTCAGTTTGCCTTTCTTTCTTTTGTCCTGTTAGTTATTATAACTTACCCCTTCAAACCAAAGCCTCTTGCTTCAGAATTCCACAAGTCGTATCCCTCTCAGCATGTGTATATATTGCTAATCTCATGACTTCTGCTCCCACCCCCCAAAGCATAAGCTTACCGCCCAAATCAGTGTCACCATAACAGAAACTTTGTCCAACTCTTTGAAACTTTCCAGCAGCATGAAATAAAGATTTTTCTTGGGAATGACGGGAATGGGATTGAGGGGGTTGCCAAGCTCAAGACTCAATAGAGCGATGGAAGTATAAGACTAACCTTATACTTACGATTATTTTCTACAGCTTCTTGATTGCACCAGTCTTTAAGCTGCCGTGAACTGAATATGAAATTTTGTCAATGACTTGGTCTTCCATCAGAAGTTTTGGGTCTGACCTAGAGTGCGGTGGAACTTTTTGTCTTTCCTGCATTTAACTTTAAGGTACACCACGGCAGTAGCCTACAGCCAGAAAAAGTTGATTTTGGTATCCAATTTTAGTAGAGCAACATCTGCATTATCGATGGGAAATATTTTCAAGTGTCTAAAACATCTATAATGAGCTCACATGTGCAATGTTTTTGAACATTGTGTTGAGTTAGACCAGAATGAATTCGTGTTTTTTCAGTTTTCTCAAAACTATGATTTTCTTAGGGGGGTGGGTCACCTATGCAGAGATGTTTCTGAAAGTACATTTCACAGCTCAATCGCACTTTGCATGACTGTTTCTAGATAATATGTTTGCAACGTACTAAAAGTTTATTGTGATCTTGTTATAAGTTTTCTGTCAGTGTGAAAAAGATTGACAGTATCACTGTATTTTGTGATCAATTTTTTGTCCGAGTATCATATATATGACACTGAAAGGACAGTTACAAGAAAAGTATGAGACTTACGTAAGTAAATCTTTAGTACGTTGCAGGTTGTATATACAGAAACACTGTGTGAAAATATCAAGGCTGGATCTGTTCAATCTTTTTTAGAATCCCTGCATAGAATATGCGTGAATTTTGGTCTATACGAACCCTTTGCATTGAAAGAATGAAAAAAATTGCTAGTGAAATCATATAGGGATAGTGTGTTTCTGTTTCTTGACCCATATTGGTCTGGATCGCTAACAACAACAACGACCCATATTGGTTATTGGGAATCCCAGTATACTTAATTTAGAGCCCAAACAAAAATTTTCACTTCAGCTGTACCTAGTGCCCCTTAATAGTCTTTTTGAGTTTTTTTTGGATTGTAGAGAGCTGACTCACTCAGCGCGTATATATAGGTACTTTGTAGTTTCTCAAAGTAATTAATTTTGAAGTCTTTTTTTCTGTTATCCTGCACCTTGGAATGAATTAAATTCTTTTGTTTTCTCAATGGCAAAAGATTACAGATTTTTGGAGGATGCAGAGAGGACACTCTACAGCAACAAAATGGTTCCACTCAACAGAAATCGTTCTCAAGTTGGAGCACCTTACCACCTGAACAAACGGGTATTGAGATGTTTTTGTCATAAATAAGTAATCATGGATGCCATTAGTTAAACTGTTGGTCCCTCCTAGGAGTAGATCCCACAAGACAAGGCCTTAAGCTGAAAGTGGAAGTTATAAGCTAATTTCTCTTTTTGAAGTTCAATTTCTCCACTTGTTACTGTTCATTCTGAATGCAATAAAAATGTGTGCCAGTAAATAAAATGATAAAGCTATTTGTTCAACTTCCAAGATAAAATGATAAAGCTATTTGTTCAACTTTTAAAGTTTTACATTAATTTATGTATGTGTTTATGTATTATATGAAAATGTATGTTTACCATTTTTACCCAAATTTCCCCACGAGGATCAATAAAATGATAAACTTATTAGCTTTAATAAATGTTATGTAGTTGTCTTGTTGTTTCTTCAGCATTCATCAGAATTGTCCCTCCCGATCTGTCTTGTTTAGAGCACCTAGTGTGCTCCGAGAGAATTAGTTCAACAATGTCAGCTTTACTTTCAACGGTTTTCTGCCATGTCGGGGTTTTTTTGTCTCCATCTTGACAGTGCAAGCTTCTGATGACGGCTGCTCTAAAGAGAGGTGTGAAACTCAGGATTCTGCCACAGGGTTTCTCAAAGAACAGAGCAAACAGTAGCTTTTATACTGTCAAGTACGCATTGTGATCTGTTAGTTTTACTGTTGCTAACACGGATGCACCCTTGTAATAATCTATACATAACATTACCCTTGATTTTGATGTCACTTGGTGTCCTTGTTATAGTTTGATTGAATTACGTTTTGCTTGATGTTTTTACATAGGAAGTACATTAATGGAATCAGATTCAAGTTAGTTTGGTCATATGTGGCACAACGTGGTGGAATTTGGCACTCGTTAATTTTTGGCCATATTGGGTTATTACTATCATTTCAAGCCTGTTCATTTGCCTTGCTTTTGGTGGAAAAAAATATCCATCTATGTTGAATAGAAGTCGAGATATTTGCGACTAAAGGAAGGGAGTGTTGCCTGGTCGTCTGCTTTCGTCTCCACTTTCTGCCCCCCTCCACCCCCTACCCCCTCACCTCCTTTGCCCTTTACTCTGGGCTCCGGACTCTTTCTGCAGTCTTTCTACTGCTTCTCCTTGGCTCCTTCATACTGCTGTTTTTCTGCCACACCCCTAATTTTATGTTAAGAAAGATCTACACCCAGCTTTCTCGGACAAGGGCGAAAATCTTGAAGGTCTCATGTGCAAGTTGCGCACGTTAAAGATCCCTTGGTGGTCCAATATCAATAAGAGTAAGTTTCGGCCGCCACCCGCTCAAAATTCCTACCAGCTGAAAATGTTTATGTGTCCCACGCGCCCATATGATCTTATGCAGTTGCGTGCGCCATTAAACACTTACCAAAACAAACAAAAAAGCAAGATATGCCTTTTAAACATTCAAATCGAAAAATTCACTTGACTTAGTACCAATTCAATAAAAGGCACTTAACATTAACAGTGGAAAGTTGACAATAGGATGTGATTTCGCTTTCAAGATGTTATCAATACCTTGTTCTATGAGAAGGAAGCATCTCATCACCGAGTCTATTTGTCCATGGGTCTGAGAGAGTACAAAATTGATACTAGATTTCTTTTCTTTAATAAAAAAAATAATTTTGTAAGTGTTTTACGGCACTCACAACTGCATAAAGTCATATGAGCGCTTGGGAAACCTTTAACTTTTTCAGTTGGTAGGAAATTTTTAATTTTGCCTGGGTGGTGGCCAAAGTCTACTCTTATTGATTTTAGACCACCAAGGGATCTGAAATGTGCACAGCTTGCACACGGGCCCTCCAAAATTTTTCGCCCTTGTCTGAGATGGCTAGGTGCAGATCTTTCCTACCAGAAGATCAGGGGTGTGGCTGAAAGACAGCTGTAAGAAGGGGCCAAGGAGTAGCAGTAGAAAGGCTTCAGAAAGAGTCAGTAACCTAGAGGAGGGGGCAAAGAAGGTGGGGGGCAGAAAGAAGAGACGAAAGTAGATGACAGAACATTGCTAGAGGAGGTGAAATGAGACAATTTTTGAGGAAAAATTTTTTTCTGTCGCCTGGATTCAAACCCGGGACCTTTGAATGAGAAGCCAACACCTTAACCTCTAGGCGACGAGAGCCCCCTACAAGTTTTCTGTGGTAACACATCTTATATCTATGATTTTGCTTTTTCATCAGGTCTGACTGTATTGACTGGCACATTGAATGGCTTTTTGCCACTGGGGATTCCATCTTGAAGGTCAATGACAAGAGGTTAGAGCTTATAGTTGATTATTTGCTTAACATTCTTGTATTCGTTAAGCTTTTACTGGAATTTGTACTTGCATAAAATCCATGCGTATAAGTGTTTTTGAATGAACATACAAGGTGTTGGGCCAGAAGAAGAAAATGTCTGAACTGGCGGAAAAATGTCGATTTCTCGGATTTCATTATTTTGACGAGGGTCTGATTTCACCACAATGACTCACATTTGTGTCCTTTACCATAGCTGTCTGTAATTGAGCATGAATTTATTGCATGCTGAAAAATTTTGTGAGGGGTTTTGAGGAAGGTTTAAAACTTGATCAGTGACCATTATCTTGACCGGGTGTTTGGGTAGAGACTGATTTTTAGTTCTGAAAACATTGGCAGCTATGTTATGGCATATAGGTGGCCCATAACAGCTTATTAGTTTTGATGTACAACTTTATATTGGCAGTTTACGTCCTTCAGTTCAACTACAGTGGAGTCTGCTTAGACAGAAATCTGCGGGATGGCCGGATTTTCATCGGTTTAGCCAGATTTTTGGCTAAGAGAGGTTGCTCAAATGAAAGAAAGAAATCTGAGATTTTATTTTATTTCTCTTTAAGTTGACACCACTTTATTTAATCTGTTTTTCTCATAAGCCCCCCGTTGGGAAGGATGAGAGGATATGTGTAATGTTTAGTTTCATTTTGTTTTGTTTTTTTAATGTATGATATGGCTTTTATTTTCATCATTGTCTTGTTATTCAATTTTGTGTACTTTTCTTTTATCACAGGGTGAAAGAGACCACAATACTTATTGATGCTGTCAGCAAATTCACCAATGCTGTACAGTTCCCACATCTGAGAAAGTCCTTGGAAGGTTTTCAGAAAGCCGACCCGTCCCTTTGCCGGTACCTGCTCAAAGTAGAAGGGCTCCCGGCAAACATGCCCAGGTAAAATGACAGTGTGTGGAGAAACCTGTTGTAAACACGCGCATTACATAGCTGCCAACCAGTACTTAAACGAATTTGATACGTTTTTGAGGGTCGAAGTAAGGAAGTCCATTTTTGTGTTGGAAAATAGGTGTTCTTTTTACTAGCTTTGCTCGTAACAGACTTGCCGATCCTAAAGAAAGGTCATGAACTTTTGAGACTGGGTTTGGGGATGATAATGAAAATGAAGCCTGTATGTCATTGAGAGCTGTGTCTCTTACCATTTCTCACATTATTATTGTGTGTCTGCTTTGAATAGTTTGATTTCTCAAAGGATTCATTATTCTCCGCTGATTTACGGTATCGCCCTTAATTCTCACAGATTTGCAAAGACAGTCAAACCTGCTTGAATTGCTGTCAGTCCAGTTCAATCACCTGTATAACAACCACTTCCCACTTTCCTCATGTGTTTTTTTAAAAGTATATATTATAATATGGCACTGTCCGAGACGTCCATCTGTCTAAAATAACCACACAATTGGTGGTAGTCTTGTACAATTTCGACTGTAAATGTATGATTTTGCTGACAAGGTTGTTTTCTTTACTGTAGCAATAGCATAGTGTACTCTCTGGTTCTTGCCTCAATCAGTGAAACTTTACACCAACAAACACAATTTGTTTGATCAGGTACTTTCAACTGAGGCCTGACTTGACTCTCGCCTCAAATCTGATGGGTCAGTGCCTGACTGAGTACCCCAGTATTCACGTGATACCACAGTCTCACAGCATGGACAGTTACGCAATTATTTCCAAGGGTAAGTTTACATGAATGAGAGAATGATTTGTTGATCTCCCAAACAAGAAATTTGCAGCAGTTTGGTAAATACATACTTGCACACACACACCTGTCAGCATGCCCAGGGGCATACACGTACACACACACTCTCTCTCTCTCTTTCACACTTCCATCTTTTTCTCTCTCTCTCTC